AAACAGGGTACCATATATGCGTAAATTAACTAACTAGCTTGCTAAGACCTGGTTATCCCAATTGTGCAGGGACACCATGCCAGAGCTAGACATCCTCGCAAAGATCTCCTAATCTATATTATGCCCTGCCAAAATGGTTTGTTCGTTGTTAGGAATCAACAAATAATCATAGCAGTCTCTGTATCCATTAACTCTTTCGCAGATTAATAGCACAATTCTCTAATTGCCAACTTTACGAGGCACAATCCTATGACAGACTAAGCTGGAGCTTCATGGATGATAATTCTAAGGAATTTACTGCACATCAGGTAAAACCTACAAAGAGTATTTGTCTTTAACAAAGACTACATAATAATTATGAGAATTTCAAGCACCATTAGATTTACAGTATATAAAGAATCTCGACATCCATCCTCATCCAAAACTTTACTTCTCATGGTCTGGATTTCATTGGTACAAGTTCTGAAAATTCTCTCTATACATTAAAATTTGTTGCAAATCTATATATTTCATCCGAGGAAACAACTGGATGAATTAGTTTTCTGGTCATTCTTTTATCTCACCCAACTAGAATGTTATGATCTGGAATTAAGTTATATCCAAGAAAATGATTTGCGAAATCAAATTCCACACATAAAAATCTAGCTTAAAACCAGTATATTATCCCTATCCCTCAGGGCTTAGCTTTCTAGTTTAGTATGATTTTAATTGCGTTATAGTATATTATCCCCACCCTGTATGTCATCTATGTTCAACGAGAATGCATTACAGGAAATTGACCAGGCAGTATGCTCAATCATAATCGGAGAAGAAGCTTCACTCTATTCTCATCCACAACACGGTTTTATAGACTTTTGTACAGGACTAAGTTCATTAGAACCGCGCAAGAACATTAATATGAGGAAACAAATTACTTTCACATGGTTGAAAACAGACACAAAATCTGTTCAACATATATATGCCAAGAACAAGTAGCAAGGCAAAATTTAGCAAGCTATCATTGCTGAAATTTAGTAACTACAAAGTATTACCATCGATTTGATATATGTAAATTTAATCTGAAGCATTTAAAAGGATTTTCAATTCACATGAAACAATTTTTTGATTGACCTAAAATAGGGAAAGTAAAAAGGCAGCGGACAGCATACAGCATACTCCTATTGCATTGTCAGAGATGGCAGAAATTGTGTGAGGTTAGCAGTTAGACACAGTCAATCCAAGATCAGTGCAACGTTGAAATTATGTTTCCATACCCATAACCTAATAAAACAACTTTAGACAATCCTAATTACTGCTATTCAAATCAACAAAATACAGAAGCACAAATTCAATTTCATAAAGAAACAAAACCAATGTGAAGAAAAACATGCAACAGTCAATAAAAATCCAAGCATTCACCCCTAAAATCTAAGCAACCCACATAATTCTGACATGAAAAAATATATCCCACCAGTTTTTTTTATAAAAAAAAAAAACAACTTCAAAATTAAAGAAATTGAAAGATTACCAAAAGTGTGGAGGAAGAGAGGTGGACAAAACCCCGACATGAGCATGATTAGCATCATGATGAGGATGATCAGGAGACCAAGTTTCCAAATTCTCCTCTCTGACTACTGGCGTTTGTAACTGGAAGCGACAGAGAGGACAAGAGTTGTGGTTAGAAAGCCAGGGGAGAATGCAGCCTGGATGGTACAAATGACTGCAGGGCAGCTGCTTGGCCTCAACATCAATCAAGAACTGATCTTTACACACTGCACACACAAGCATTGGATCCATTTCTAGCATGCAAGAAGTGATTTTTATGGTGGGGATGATAGAGTCAATAGTGGCGTTTGTATTATCATCTTCACAATCGCAATGGCTGTTGGTGTTGAGATGTTGAAGGAAGTTGAGGAAGGAGGGGCTATCAAGGAGGAAAGTGTTGTTTTCAGCGGTGGTGGAGGTGGGAATGGGGTCCATGAGTTCAAGAAAGTCATGGTGGCAGTGAGGGCAAAGAGGAGTGGTGGTGGTGAGAAGGTGGATGCTGAGGTCACATTCATGACACCAGTAGGTTTGCCATTCATTAGTTGGGGTGGAAGACATTGTTGGTGTACTTTTTTTGTTGCTCTGATCAGTGTGACTCAGCTTCTGGCGTTGTAATCTCTTCTTGGCTAGGCTGATTCCCTGAACAATAATGGGGTAATAAAAGATTGGGGGGGTGGGGGGGTGTGGTTTGTGAGATGTGGATGTGAATCTGAAGGATAACTTATTATTTGTTTGCTTCTAGTTTGGAGTTTGGAGGACGGAAAGGAAACGAGGAGGTTAGGTGGGGTCTATCTATGTGATATTGTGATGCGATGTCCTCTCGTCGACTTGGGTAGCTGCCCTTTCTTGTCATCTTAGCTACCTTTAATCACTAGATTACAATATGTAAGAGGGTTCCTCACGCCGACGTCGCTTTGGCCGAGTGGTTAAGGCGTGTGCCTGCTAAGTACATGGGGTTGCCCCGCGAGAGTTCGAATCTCTCAGGCGACGTGTTGTCTTTTTCCCCGTACTCTTTCCAGCATCAATCAAAATTGTCAGGAAATCCACAACTAGTATAATCTAGTTTTTAGGTGGAGATTTCAGTCAAGCAAAACTGAAGACAAATACAAGCCTGCAATTATGGCTGTTGGCACAAGATGTTGGCTACAGGCTACACCTCAGGTGAAGATTGTGAGTCCTTACGGTACTTTGGAACTTCGTCGATTCCACTGAATGGTGATTTGCAGAATCTGCTGTTTTTGAAACTGTTGGATGAACCAACTTTATTTATTTTTGCAATGTCATGTGGGTTTTCATTTGCATATTTGGATTATATCTTATTACGTTTTGAAGCAAATGCTAAATAGAATAAGAATTTTCATATCTTTGCCAAGAATCTGATTATGTGTAATGAGAGTAGAAGGGTGTCTTGGTAGTCTTGAAAGGTGGAATTTTATGTGCTTGCACACACAGATACATATGTTTTCCCATAGGAACCCTATAGCCCTGTGGACAGTAGTCTGAGATTTAGCGCTGAGCGCTGGTGATAGAGAAAAATATGTTAGAGAAAGAGAACAAAGCAGCAGATATGGTAGTTGAATTCGTTCTCTTCTTCTTTATTAATATACAAAAATAAGGCGTAAGCACACCGTTGCAATATGTGCAGGATGTAAATATATATCAATAAGAAACAGGGTAATTATTAACTTTTCATAGTTGTATTTGTTTTTATAGTTACTGTTGTTTCTATAGTTACAGGATTTCCGGATTATAGAGGCTGATTTGTCTCTAATTTGTTGTTCTGGAGTGTAGTGGCTGTTGGAATATTTTCTTGATTATGATGGCTGATTTGTTTCTGATTTGCATGCAGCTATAGTTTCCAGTCATTCTGGAGTGTAGTAGCCGTTGGAATATTTTCCCTACAACCTTGGATGTTAGCGTGACAGGAGTTGATCAAGATTTGGTCGGGGGATGCTGTGATGCTGCTGCCGCTACTGTTTCAGTGATGCCGCTGCTGTTGCTGCTCTTGTGATGTTGCTGTTGCAGAGTTTTGGTTTATCAAGCTACATAGAGATGAAGGAGATGAGATAGTATTGTTTGCAAGGAGATGAGATAGTGTTGTTTGCTGCTGCTGCTGAGATAGTGCTGTTTGCTGCTGCTGCTGCTGTATTATTGCTAATAGTGATTAGTAATTAGCAAGTCAGGGGACGTCCGAGATTCTATTTTGTTCAAAATTTTGTAGGTTTTTATTTTTATTTTTTTTATGGTATTGATTGCTTTTACAGATAAATAATGATCCGACTTCTATTTTGTATTTCAATGCAGTGCTGCAGATTTACAATAGCTTGAGGAGTGGCTCAGAAAATTGTCATGGCTAATATGGTCAAGCAAATGCAATTGAAATTCAACCAATATTGATGTTGTGTGCTGATCTTGGATCTGCGACGCAATATTAGGTTTTTCAGTATTGCCATACTAGCTGTATGGTTGTGCTGTGCGGCAAGACATTGTGATGGTCAGGAAGACTGTTCCTCCTTTTCTGCCTCTGCTCCGGTACCTCCTCCTCCTCCTGCTGCTGCTAATTTAGATAGTCATGGGTTCGAAGATGATAAAACATCAACGGAGTCCTAGTTTTAAACACAAGTGGAGAATCCAGAGGTAAATCTTTACCTAGAAGAACCTAGCAATTATCTAAATACTGAAAATTGATGTCTCACAATATTGACTTTCATCTTCAGTAACGGATTCAGGACTACCAGGAATTCTCACAATTTCTTCGCCAGCTAAGTTTTCTTTCGTTATTGTAAACTCTGTGTTCCAACTATATTCTATGGACTATACATTCTGGTTGTTCTGTGTTCCAACTATATTCTATGGACTATTCTGGTTGACTAAAATCTGGTCTAGGAAAGCAGGCAATTTGGGGAAGTTAACTATTAGTGTAAAGATGGTATATCTGTATGATAATTGGTTGTGAGGGAGGTGATTTGAACAGTGTCATTTCACTATTGATACTGTTGATGAGTCTTCTTTTGCACATTGCATAATCTGGTGGTTTCTTTTGTCAAATGCCCTTAAGATTTTGATGCAGTTAGCATATACACTTAGTGGAGAATAAGCATATCGATGGAATCATGTTCTGTTCTCTCTAGTTACTTAGTAGGAAAGACCATATTCTTGAGGACTTTAGTGGATGCCATGATGTGTAGATGAGTAGATGACAATCTACAAAATGAAATGATATTGTTCTGTTCAGTGCAGGGGATCCTTTCAAAGCTTCTATCTGAACAAATTGTATCCAAAACCCTTGAGAAATGCCTTCAAACTGGCTTAAGTTGGCAAGTTAAGGTGCAAAATCAAAGCATAGATTGCAGTCATAAACTAATTGAGGCCCAGGAATTTTATGCCTCATCCCAGTTTCTGAAGTTTGGATTACATCTTACTAGCCTGTAGATCCCATGGTGTAATTGAAAAGTGAAACTCCGACAAGATCGCCATTTCTTAAATAGGAACAAAAATTTATTGCAAATCAAAGAGGCAGAGACAGTAACACGCATATGACACAAATTTTATTGAAGGGGGCATTGACATTGGATTCGACAATTGACACAACTAGAGCTCAGCACAGAGAGAGAGAGAGAGAGAGAGAGTGCTCAAGCTGAAGAAGCCTATTGAGGGAGAGCTTAGAGGCCTCAAGATCGGCATCTTTCTCTATAAAAACCCTGGTCGTCATCTTCAAGAGGGCAGAGACAGTAACGCATATTACACACATTTTATTAAGGGTTTCAAAATTAACACAACTAGATCTCTCAGCAGAGAGAGAGTTTATGGTCCAGCCGAAGAAGGCTGTTGAGAGAACTTAGAGGCCTCAAGATCAGCAGCTTGCTTGATAAAACCCTGTTCATCATCTTCAAGAGCCATCTGAATAGGACTAGACCCCAACCCATCAGCAATAGCAAGCATGATCTTCTTCAACTCTGACCTGTACTCTTCAAGATCAACACTTCCACTCCGATCACAATCAAACTTGTCAAAGATTGAGTCGTACAGATTTGTGAGCTCCTCAGGTGCTGTGGCCACGTCCACTCCAAAGTGGGTTTCGATCAAACGCAAGGTTTCGAAGGCCTTACGGAGTTCAGAGCGGGACAAGACCCCATCGTTGTTGAGGTCAAGCTTTGTAAATGCCTCGTCCGCACTCTTATTGAACTGAGCCTCGTCGTTAACAAAGTCACGTATTGTTGATCCATCTATGATCACCACTCCCATTTTTCGTTGATTTTTTTTCCGCTCTCTGTTGAAGGAATGAAGATAGGATTGAGATGAGATTTCGGTGGTAATTATTAACTGTTCTAGGGAGTCCTTAGATTATTTCCAATCTTATATATACTCATTCTCAATTGAGTCCAATTCTATAAATCTTATCAATTTGATCCTCAACGTTTTCTTAAGAAATATCAGGTCTTTCTTATGATTTCCATAAAAATTTCTTCCAATTGACTCCCATTTTAGTACAATGTTAATATTTATAATTTTTCTGTTCAATCGCGTTAAGTCAACGCTGCTTTAGCGTATAAAATATGCATATTAAATTTAAGTTACCAATAGAAATTGATAAAAGGATGCAATTGAGAGAAATAAGCAATTTTCAAAACCTAATTCATAAAATCTAGCAGTTTGGGATCCAATTCAATGCACATATATATACAGGCTTAAGGCTTTTCTTGGGAAATTTCAAATTAACCATTCTCAATTTTACCAGAAAAAGAAAAAAAAATTGTTAATTGGACTCCTGAAAGTTCAGATACTCCATCTTTTCCAGAGCACTAAAAGGAGGACTCAATTGAGAAATATATAAATAGATTGGGGCAGACCATTGAGATATTCCTTTTGTTTTCTTTTTCATGGCCGGCGCCTTTCTCTCTGATTTTCAGGGGTGCAAAGTCAGGTGGCAAAAACATGAGGCTACAAATGTGGACGCCGGACAAATGGTGTCCCACCGTCATGTTGTGCCGTCGGTGCCGCGGGTTTCCCAAATCCACTGGCTATGCTTTCAACTCTGTTCTTGATTTTTCTAGGACAGCTCGCAATATTTTTGTTTTTACACCTGAAATATGAAAAAAAAAAAAAAAAAGAAGAGTTATTGACCAGAATAGGCTTGGGATCCATTATACAAATGGACTACGTCCTCCTCACATGTTCCGGTGAGAGCCCATCGGCCCAATGGGACATGAGGGTGACAAAAGAGCAAATAAATAAATAAATGAAATGAAAATATCTAATGATTTAAGGCCAGCAAACAGGAACAAAGAAAACTGGAAGAACAGGAGGAATGAAGAGAGGACTGAGGTGAGGTCGGGGCTGCAATTATAGATTCCTTTTCCAGTTCTGAATGATTTGAAGGCGCTGTTGAAGGTGGTGATGCCGCTAGTGGAATACAACTAGTATTTCCTGGCCTTGAAGTGTTTGTTGTACGTTACTAGTTATGCCATGTTGAACACAAGCATACGAGACTTCAACCTTTAAGACTGAAACATCTATGGCGATCTTCTTTTTTTTCTGTGAATTTTTTTGTATTGATTTTTTCTTCAGAAATTGTTCTGTCGGATCACTTTTTTGCATGCGTGCATAAACATGATTAAGATATTATTTGTGATGTAGTCTAGCAACCCACTTTTAGACAAATGTTTTCTTAGTGATCCGGCCTCTCTTGGTGACCCGGCCTTTTAAGTTGATGGATTTTTTCTTTGATTCTATACTCATATATATTATAAGTTTTAAACTAAACAATGTCTTCTCTAAATTGTATAAGTAATGAAACATCATATATAAAAGGTTTTGAAAATAAAAAAATTAGTAAAAATTTGAAGTTTTAGAATGATTAAAGATCAAAAATTTGAAGTTTTAGAATGATTAAAGATTGTTTTTGTTTTTGAACCAAAATTTTAATATGTTGAGTGATAAATTTTCCAATAAAAAAATTAATGTAGCTTTAATGTTTTTAAAGTTTAAAATGGCTAAATGGAGTGTTTAATATTTTATGTTTGATTTTGAGTGTTTTACTCCATTGGTTCTAATAGCTTTTAACCTACCTTACAAAAAAATTTCTACTTTAAACTCAACTATATTACAACATTTGAAAAGACTTTATAATTTGTAAAATGAATATAATCTAAATAGTGGAGAGTGAGGTGATATGCAAGTTTATAATAAATTATTTCTATTAGAATGAACTCAAGTGAAACACTAGCTTTTCAAATACATGAGAATTGAGTGATTATTTATATAAGGTCTATTATTTGGTTATTTTTTTAAGTAAAAATACTTGATAAATCAATTTTAAATTTATTGGAATATCATTCCTGATATGAGATGGTGATCGGAGAGTTTTATCATTTTTTGTTAATGGCATTATATTTTTTACAATGAAAAAGTAAATTTGAACTTTGTCTAATGTTGTGCAAAAGATAAGTGTGGGGGAATTTGATAAGTGTAAGACATACTTATTATTTTATTCCTTTTAGATTATGATTTTTAATGTGTTCTGATCTTATTTGAGCTTATTAAAAGTTATTTTTTAAGTTTGGTTTATCTAAAAGACTTTGAGAATTAATAGCTAAAAGATAAGAAATTTTGCATTTTATGTTTCAAACCTTATTTTTTGTGACAAATTGTTTTTCAAGTTAGAGTCCCATAATGTAATTGTAGGCTTAATCCAAGTACACATATCAAGCTTTTTAGGAAGGTATTATAGATAAAAATTCAAGTTTGTTTGGACCTCTAAATTGATCTGTAAAAAATCAAGTTCAAATTCTACTTACAATAAGATTCTCTATTTTCATATTTAATATTCAAACGAGCATATCCTGAGTTTTAGATATCAAAATTAGGTCATTCAAAACTTCAAATTCATCTACACATTCAAAGCTATAACATTTAGTAAGGGTTTTATGTCAAACAAAATCATTTTCAAGATGAAAATTTTAACACAAGATAAAGAACAAGTTTTATCTCTTGATATAACGAGAAACTAACAACTTGAAAGTCTTACCATTAAGAAGAAATATGATGGGATCAAATAGATTTTCTCTATAACTTATAACTTTTTAATTTTTACCTATGATATCTTATAATGAAGGCTACCTATTGAGATACAAAAACACTAAAAGATCAATGTGAGAAGGGTTTTTATTTTTTTGTTGGAATTTTCACAAAGGACTTAGCTACTAGAATTTCCTAGAGGATGAACAACTAAATCTTAAGTTTTGTTCAAGAGAAATAGACTCCATTAGTAGTTGTGAAAAGTTATGTTTTCATTGTAATTTTTTCATATTTAGATACTTATTTATCATTAATTTAGAATTATACTATTAATTTCTTTTTATGGTAATTGAATCGTTTTGAGATGACACATGTACTTTCTAATTTCTTTCAATCTATAATTGTTGTTAGGGACAAGAATAAGAAGTAAAAGAATTAACTTGATTGGTACAACTTTTACCTTAATTTATTAGAAAAGAATAAACTAAGTTAAATTATTCAAGTTTTTAAATAATTGTTTAAAATAAATTTATTACAATTTCTCATAAGACTATTGTCGAGTGAATGAGAATTGCTTTTAAATGTTAAATTCTTTTAATGGTAAAAAATTAATTAGAAAATTTTGTCTAATTAATTTATTCATAATCTCCTTGACCTCTTTTAACTTTAAAGGATATCAAATTTATTTGCTTAACTTGTAAGGATATTTATTTTCCTTGATAATCTATAGATTTATAGGAAATGATGTCTAGATCCTTGAACTAAATTAACAAGATATTGATTTATTATTTTTATTTTCAAAATCTTCTTTAAATTTTGATTCAAATCACTCTATCCTTTTTTATTTTAGTATCTTATAAGAAAATTGAATAAAAAAAATTTGGATTTAACTTGATTTTTGCAATCGTTCTTTAAATTTTGATTCAAATCACTCTATTCTTTTTTATTTTAGTATCTTATAAGAAGATTGAATAAAAAAAAATTGGATTTAACTTGATTTTTGCAATCATACTATAAAATTATTTTTTTATTAATAATAAAATTAAAATTATATTTTAAAGGTTTCGACTAGCAAAGAATTAGAGTAGTGTTTGCCTCACCCAATTGAAGAAATTCAAATTGGTCCTTTCTCATATGATTTGGAGGAATTTCCTGGCTCCCTTGAAAACTACTCATGATGGGATGGGATGATAAACTGAAGAGCGTTGTACCACATAAGCTCAACTAGCCTTATTCTCTTCAATTTACTAATGAATTATCTATTTTTTATATGTTTATTTGATTCTCATGTTTTATCTTCCCCTTGAATTTACTAATGAATTAGAACAAAAGAAAGAAGAAGATGATAGCTTAGCTATCTTTCCTGTGTAGCAAGGTATGGCCAAAACTCATTGCAGATTCTTTCTCATGCTGCTAACTGCTTGCTTACTAAGTACACTGCTTTTCTTTTCTTTTTCTCTGGCATCTAATTAATTGTATGTAGCCAGTGTTCACAGAGTTGGTTTCTTTCATAGCTCCTATTTAAATGTCCAAAATTTAAAATTTTTGCCTTTCTGCCTAATTAACGCAAGGCATGACTTTTTTTGCAATCCATGTTTCCATATGCGAGTTAATAATTGCTTGCTTTTATTTATGCCTACCTTTTTGTTCATAATTAACGCAAGGCACGACTTTTTTTGCTTTCTTCTAGTGCAAATGTGCTGCTCTGATATAGCAGATTCTATTTCTAATTCCTGTGTTAAAGGTTGCTTTCGTTATTGTAGAAAAATTGACTGTGCAGCTTACACTAGAGATATCTATTTCTGATATTTTGTTTAAGGTTACGGTGTCTTTTAATGTTTTGTTTTATTGCCTTTCCAGCTGTTTTGCTCAATTTTAAATCACAGGAGAGGAGTTAAGCAAAGTAGTTGGTTCCAAAAGAATAAACTTATTATATTAGTTCTTACTTTTGTTGCAATTCATTGGTGTGATTCAGTTTAGCAAGCTCATAGACAAGTAAAACACCTGCCTGATTCATTGTCTGCACTTCTAGACTTTTGTTTCATTTTCCTAATGCCAATTTGGTTATGAAGGTCCTGCATGATGGTTTATTTTCTTTTTAATCTTTATTTTTTCTTTTTTTCTTTTTTTGAACCTGATGGAACGATCACACGTTGGTTTAGGGACTCTAAAGGAAGGATAATACTTGCAGCTTTCAAGAAAGTGGATAATCAGGCATGCGCACAGATTGCAGAAGTCCAAGCTATTATACATAGATTAGCATAGGCAAGAGCTGTTGGTTTGCAAGTACGATGTGGAACTTGACAGATTCTTGGTTATTTCGC